ATTAGGCGATATTTTTCTATACTTTTGTCTTATAAATATTAATTTTAGTAGCTATAATCAAATTAAAAATGTATTTGTTATTATAACCATTATAACCATATAGTGATGATTTTGGAAACTTATCAAGACTGTCAAGCAATAATATTTCGATTAATTCAGATGAAACCTTTTTAGCGACCACATCGTTGTCTACTATTGATAGTGGTTATGCAATATTTCAGGCTTATATTACTCGAGAAAATTATAACACCAACAGAACATTTTCACGTGCCGAACTGAATGTCACTTTCATATCCTTTAATCAAACAATTCCGGATTATCGAAATTTTATTCTTTACCAAGATTATCAACCCAGACTTAATATTTCAAATCTAGGAGTTTATTGTGTTACAGTATCTTTTGGGGTTGGCCACATTTGCACAGTTTTTGTGAACAGCAGCACCATATCGTACTATGTAAAAATTAATTTTTTGTCATCAGGAGCAGTGTTATCATCAACAATAATACCTCCTCCACCTAAAATACCTAGTTTACCTCAGCAAAATTTTAGAATGATGCAAATGCCATACGGGGGTTATATATTTGATTCCAACTCTTATAGTCTTAGTAATAATACTAGCTATCATTATATTTATGCTTATGACGAAGATAATGATCTTATAGATTCATTTTCTATTTATACCAATGAATTCGATGTTGACGCTATTATGAATAATAATACATTACTGTTTGCCTCACCTTATACAAATAGTCAAAATACTTCTTGGTCTTTATTAACTATTCCAATGCCTCAAGTTCTAATGGAACGTGGTATGTCTATATTAAATTATCACATAAATTTATTCTTTTATAATGATAATAATTTATATATATTTTTTAGATCATGGTTATGAAAATCTCTTGGTCGACAAAATTATTCCACCTATTAATGCTATTGTCAATTCATCAACGGATGCTTTAAAAATCACCTTCTATGAACCTATCGTTCTGTCAACGGGCAATATCACTATCTATAAAATGTCTGATAATAACATTAGGCAAACAGTTTCAGGAACAGTAGAGGCATTCTGTACAATTGATTCAGATGAGAAAACAGTTATTATAAAGGTCATTAGTAGCACATTCAATGAGTATGGTCAATTGTATTCTGTGATAATGGATAATAATTTTGTCAAAAGTAAAGACTATAATGAACCGCTAAAAGGAATTGTAGGAGGGATTCTCAAATATTATTCAAGTAATATTTTAGCTTTATATAACTTTATTTTATTGATATTTTAACTGATATTTTATATTATTTAGCATATAGAACACAACCCTCAGGTAATATGATACAAATATTCTCATAACTTAAATTTTCATGTGCTTAAATTCTTTTTGCATTTCTTTACAACAGAAAGTGATATCTGTTCAGCCCGACTCACAACGGAAGCAACAATAAAATTTTTAAACCTATCTAAGTATGAGCAATATAAATATTTTGACTCCTTACTAGATGAAATTTCTATAAAATTGCCAGTCAACCGTGAACGTCTAAATATATTTGGAAACCCCCGATCCATTTATAATCCTATTACAACTTTGGAAAATATCGAATTTTATATCTTAATCGTAAATTTACCAAATCCATCACAAAATGATAAAAATATTCCAGGAGTGATATCAGATTTAGACACTATGATTACGTATAAGATGGTTACTGATTTCTCCTTTGGTTTAACAAATGACTTAGACTCATCCTTCGGTTTTAAGTCAAGTGGTGAGTTAATAATCTCATTTAAAGATGTTATCAGATTATCCAAACAGATATTCAAACAGATATCTAAATAGATATTTAGCTATATATAATCCAAATAATTTATTGAATAACTAGATATCCATTTATTAATTTATTTTAACTTGAATTTTCATACCTAATTTTTATATCACAGGGTTTACACTAGATTCATGGAATGAATTCTATATACAAATAATTGTCGGTGTCACTATTTATATAATATGCTGCTTATTGTCACATTTACTTTATTATAAGGTAACTTTATTTTATCAGATATTTTCTTAAAAAATTTTCCTCATAAAAATATTAATTTAATTTTTTGTTTAAAAAAAGTTAAAATCGAAAAAATTTAAAGCAATAAGTTTTGCAATTTTAAGGCTTGTACTAGTATTCCCACATTTTAATCTTTCAACTTCTTTTGTTGTAAATTATACTGCTGATGTGCCAGGACTTTACTTACCAAGGTATATTTAACAAATTTTTATTACTATTTGCTTATACATTAAACAAATAACCTAATTCTTACTAAATAAATATTTGAAGTGTATTGTTCCTGGGCATTTCACAATTCATAAACTTATGCATAGTGACCTATACTATTTATAAGGGAGTTAATGATCCTGTTGTTGGGAATAGTTTTAAAGAATGGATTATAAATAATCGAAGTTTAACAGCTCTACTCTTTTTTTCAACAATGACTGACTATGAATACTTGGCCATTTTTAGAGATGTGCCTATGTTTACCAAAGGATCATATGAGAAAATTAATATGTTTAATATATTTAGGCACATATTTGGGGCTTCGATTTTGTGGGGTGCATTCTTTGATGTTTTTTCTAGAAATATGCCACAAATTATTATCCAAGTGAGTATATATAAAGTCTAACTTCGATATAATCGTCTTAATGATTAAATAAAAACTCCGATATTTTTTGTTTATCAAACATAAAAACACTAGCCTCTATATTATCTTAATGATTATATCGAAGTTATGCTGCATTTTATAAGTGAATTAAAAGCGATTATGGATTCGTATATTTGTACAATGTTATTCAGTTCAATTAATTCATTGTGCAATATTATTTAAATAGGTCTATTATTACAAATACGTTAAATACAATTGGATATATAATATAGTTCCACTTCTTTTGCTCGTCACATCCTGCCTTAAAATTTTCATGGTTATCTTTAATTATATGATCAAAATGATAGCTTTAATCATCATCAGGTATGCATTACATAATATTCACGCTTAATAAATAACCATTATTCTAATCAAATTAATTTCATTAGACGGTTAGTGTAAAATTTTATTAATTTATTAATTCAGTATTTATCATCACATATACTGAATTATAACAATAATCTTGTTTATTATTTTATTATAGAAAGTAAGTATTAAGGTTCATTTATAAAATTAGTATAATACTTAATGATTTTTCATTAATACATGTCTTTCTTTATGAAATTATAAGTTTGTAAGTATATATTTATAGAATTTATAGAATAAATCCCTTAATAAATATTCATAATCTTAATAATATATATATATTTTTAACCATATCCATATTAAATAGTAAGTAAGTAAACATTATAGTAAAATCATTATTCATGAGAATTCATTATTAACTTACAATATCAACAATCGAATGAATGAATGAATGAAAAGGTTAGTGTGCTATTAGTGTATTACCGTATTAGCATATAATTATCATTATTATTATTGTTTCTTTTGGGAATTAATGAAATTAATAATTATTTTTTATAACATAAAGGCGTAATTTCTACGGAAAATGCGCAAACTGCAATCGGCCTTACATTTCTCCAGCTTGGTGTCAATTATGCGATCCTCTGAAAGCAACTCAAGGGTGGAGCAGTGGAAATAAAGCTATTGATGATTATATCAAAGGACTTCAAATCAAAGTCACAGAATATGAAAATATGATCGAATGGATTCCATTCAATAAACTTGATAATTTACAAAAGATTAGAGAAGATGAAACAGAAACTGTATTTATGGCAACCTGGCTAGACGGCAAAAGAGTAATTAAAGGTGGAATCGTAGAATATATGCGATCACGTATTGAATCATGTGGTGTTAACCTTAAAATTTTGTCTAATTCTGAAAATTGCGATGATTTTTTAGAAAACGTAAGCTGTTATATATTTTTTTACACTGTTTATTGAATATATCTGATATATTACATATTGTAATATTATTAACGCATTTAAACCTTAAGCTTACAAATTATATACAGCTGGATGGAAATATTGTATATGGAATTAGCCAAAATCCAGAAACAATGCAATACATAATAGTGATACCAGATGAGTTTGGTTCTAGAAGAAACGCTTTAAATGGAAAATGTGTGTATTGTGAACAATTTAATACTTCACCTTCTTGGTGTCAATCTTGTGAACCATTAAAAACAACTCAAGAATGGACGAGTGGAAACATAGAGATTGATAATTTCATCAAAGACCTTCAAATTAAAGCTGAGGAATATGAAAAAATTATTGAATGGATTCCATATGATAGACTTATTAATTTACAAGAATCTTATATAGTATTTTATGAAGCTGATCAAGAAATTGAAGAAATATCAGATTCAGTATTCATAGCAACCTGGCTGAATGGTATACGAACTATTAAAGGTGAATCTGGAAAATATACGCAGTCACGCACTATATCATGCGTTGATCTTATAAAATTGCATTACTTTGAAACCAGCACTCTGGATTTTATAAAAAAAGTAAGTTAAAATTATTTGCATAAGGAATTAAATATAAATTATTTACTTAACACATATTTTTTTGTAAGTTTAAAAAACTTATGAAACTAGAGAAATATGGATTATATGGAATAACTCAAGATAAAGAAACCGGTCAATACATAATTGTACTTGATTTTTATTATAATGATAGAAAGGCCATCAATGGAATATGCAAGCTTTGTGAACGATACAACACCTACCCAGCTTGGTGTCAATTGTGTGATCCTCCTATAGAAACTCGAGATGCAATCACAAGTGGCGAAAAAAACATTGATGATTGCATTAAAGAATTTCAGCTTAAAGCTACATCATTTGAAAAAGTAATTGAATGGATTCCATATGAAGACTTAAACAGTATAAATATTATTGGAAGAGGGGGATTTGGTACAGTATATTCAGCAAATTGGTTATGTGGTAAAAGAATGGTCGAAGGTGATAATAGTATAGGTTATGTTCGATTTCGTAACAAATCATGTGAAGTCGCTCTTAAAACATTGCCTGGTTCTCATACGAGCGCCAATTTTTTAGCAGAGGTAAGCTAAATTATTGATAATTGTACAGTAAATTTGCAACATAAAAAAATAACTTTATAAAATTTTTTTTCATATAATTTTCTCAAGTTTAAAAATCACATGGAATGTAGGTTAGAAGGCAGTGAACTTGAAGTATATGGTTTAACACGACAGAAAGATACTGGTCAATACATGATGGTATATCAATTTGCAAATAGAGGAAATCTTCACGATTTTTTAACTAGATATTTTAGAGAACTTGTATGGGAAATAAAATTAAAACTTCTAGCGGATATATCTTATGATTTGTCTCGAATTCATAAAACTGAGCTTATTCATAATGACTTTCACAGTGGTAATATTTTACTGAACCAAAATATCGAGGGAGATATAATTTCATACATTACAGATCTAGGATTATCTAGAAAAGAAAATGAGGATGATACAGAAGAAGGTGTTTATGGAATTATGCCATATGTTGCACCAGAAGTTCTCATGGATCAGAAACATACACAAGAAGCAGATATTTATGGTTTAGGTGTTATAATGACAGAAGTATCAACCGGAAAAAGACCTTACGATGGGTCTAAATATGATACCAAACTTGCAGTATCTATTTGTCATGGTTTACGTCCAGAATTTGCTGACGGAACTCCTGATTGCTTCATTGAATTAGCTAATCAATGCATGGATTCAAATCCACACAATCGACCTACTGCTGAAGATGTTTATTTGAAAATTAATCATTGGAAAACAATTATGGAATCAGAAAATTTAACTGAAAAAGAGGATCTTGATATAAAAAGGAAATTCCTTGAAGCTGACAGTATAATCAAAAAAACAGAGTTAAAAACTTTATCAATGCTTCAAAGTAACTATTGTAGTACATTAATTGATGTACGAGAAATAACAAAGAAAGGTACTAATTGAACTGAACTTATTTTATACTTTGTAATTATTACTTTGTAAATAAGTATTAATTTATTTAGTTTGTTTCATTGCAAGCAGTATCTACTCAATTTAGTGGCTTTAGTGGCTCTATTACGATGCACTCTGGAAGTTCAACTAATGAACTCCCATCTAAAATGACCGATTTATTAGGTTAGTATAATTTGTAATATTCGATTATTTCAAAATTTCTTTACTAAATTTTTTTTTTTTTTTTTAAAGTAGAAGAAAGTGAATCTGATTAATGCTTAGAGAATCTTTCACAACACCTTAATTATAATTTATAAATTTAGAAACTACTTTAATATGCAAGCATAAATGAGGCGCTGATGGCACCCTTATAATTTTGACTTTAATTAGATTAACTTTTAATTTGTAATATTTACTCATAAAATTAATACAAACATAAAGATTAAATGGGAGATAAGAGACAACAGAAATATCTAATAATTTATATTAAGGTAAATTATATGAATGTATTAAAAATAATAATGATAGTAAAAACACAACTTTTAAAACATTTTATGTAATTTCACATGTTTTCTGGATTTGATTAAAAGAATTAATAAATGAAATTATTGAACATTCGAATGTAGCCATAAAAATGCTCTAGACTTAACCAATTATTTAATTCTATGAAATAAGCATTATAGCACAGATTTTTTCGATTTAAATGATAACCACGTTCAAATACATTGTGAGGAACGCCTGAGAACATTATAGTTCGGATAAAAAAGAAATTAGATACAATGAAGAATCTCAGGAGATGATTTTATCAGCAATTCATTGTCAAGAAAATTGTTGTCGGAAAAATGATTATAGAGTGAACTGAATTGTAATTTATGGTTATTGAGGATAAACTTTAAAATAGTTTACCCCTAGTTATCCGAATAATACTGTAAAATTGTTTCTATCGTACAGTTTCATTAAAACCATACAAATAAATATAATATGTGTTAAATTTTTATAGAAAAATTTAGGATGAGTTTGAAAAATTCAAACTAAGCTATGGCAGAAACAATTTAAAAGAATTGTCAATGAGGTTATGGTTTAAAAATGTAGAATCAGATTTTAGAGTGGCCGAGCGAAGCGAGACCAAGGTCTATATAAAAAAATCTAACCTTGTTTACGTTGTGAATAGTGATGCTGAATTGTCGCATTGATGATCGTTAATTTAGTAATTTAAATTCCAAATCATGTGAATTGTGGAATTGCCAATTTTACGTATAATTCATGCAGAAGCTACATTTTTGATACTGTATTCTGTAAATCTTTATCGCAATTTTTACTCTTGCGCAATGATATATTAAGATGGAGTATTGCTTTCTTGTCATATTTCTATGCATTACGGCGTGTTTGTCAAATTTACTAGCTAATTGTCCCAAATTTAGGTTTTGAGGACAAAATTTATGATCAATTTTCTAATATTGAACCTTAAAAAAATTATTGGCACTCCGATCTATATAACAGAGTCATGGAGATATTTAACAAATCAAAAGATGATGATATATCAATATAACATATTTCTTTTACTTGATTAATTTTCTTATAGATTTTTTGCATTAAATTACTTATGATGTATAAAACAAATAACTGTCTTTTTTTTTTGTCAAATATTATTTAATATAATATAATATTATTATTTTTATTCAAATATAAGTTAATAAGCAAAAAAAAGAGTTTTTTTTCTTTATATATTTTAACAAATCTTTAAGATTGTTTATTTGAGTTAATAAAAGTCAATAAATTAAAAAAATAGCTAAACTAAATATACTAGTAGCAATTTTGCCAAAATTAAAAATTTAGCCATTAATCTTAATTAGGTATATAAAAAAAATAAAAAAAGCCAAGTCTATATAAATTAATATATAAAGCCAGATAAATAAAGTTTAATATATTTTGTATTATAAACTAAAAATTTTTTTTTTTTTTTGGTTTTAAGGTGAGGCCTTGCTCATATCTTTATTAGATAATTTATATAAGTAAT